TTAGGCTAACATAGCGACTAACCAGCAAGCCCTAATGAGGTCTTCAGGACTCGAACACCCAATATTTGAGTGAGGAGTAAGGTCGGTACCACCACTAGACCACCCTAGTGTTTGATAATACACAATATAATCATTTGATAGTAATTATTTAATCCAATCACTTGTTTGGTTATGACATTATTTCATGATATTAGTATTAAATTAACAAAAATACCTTCAATCAGTATTTGTTACATTGATGACAACTAAATTTTATCAGTTGAGAGGTTATAATAGTAAATGTGTAGAATAATACGTTTGAGTTGAATTATAATACCACCTCTCTTGGTGGTATTAAAATTTCTCCATAATACAACTCTATCGTATATATAATAAATATACGATCAGTATATATTTTTGAAATTGACACAATATCAAATTTGTTTATCAAATAAAGTATTAAGCTCTATTAAATAAAAAATAATATAGTCTAATATTTAATTCTCTTATAATAAATCTAACAAACGAGATTTTAATGTATTAAAAGTGATATAACGTAATATTTTCGTTAGTTTCTGTTATTAGTTCCGTCAAAAATAATCCCGTTTACATTGCCTGATCGGTCAAGTAGTCCCATAGGCCCCGGTTAAGACCAAGGACAAGTGGACTCACTGCTAATTACAAGCCCAACAGCCAAGTATAAAGGGAGATCCAAAAACGCGGTGCCATAGCCCATAGGAAGGGGAGAAGCCCTAAGACATGTGGACTCACTGAGCAAGACGAGCCCAAGAACAGTCCGAGAGGCGAAAAGGGAGGGGGCTGGCTGGGCAATATCGTCATTTCACAATAAAGAGATGGGGGCTCTTAAGTCTTTTGGCAATGGAGAGGTGAAAACCCTAACATCTCCACTAAGCCACTATAAAACCCGAGTAGGAGAAGGAGATGGATTATAACCCCCGCAGTGTCCACAGTCCAGCCCTCCGAATCTCTCTTCTCCATCATCTATTTTGATGAGCGTGAGTAATCTCTCGTTTTGCTTTTCGTCTAATTTTTGAGAAATATATGAGAGTTTTGTGTTGTATCAAGTGTCGTACTCATTTCGCCGATTCTGTTAATAAGAAAGATTAGATCTGTGTACAATAAGCCGATGCTCTGGATTGTTTTGAGATGAAGGAAGCATGGTAATGTGCACAGAGATTGAATTTGAAACGGGTCATCATGTCTGCCCTCTCTGATTCCTTTCTCCTGATGAGAGGGCCTGGATTAGACCCACATCTTTATTTTCTCTATCTTTCTTGAGTTTTTATATTTAAATATATATGCAACCATGTATTTTTCTGATTGTATATATTCAAAGTATATAGTACTGTATATAATCTTCTGCATGTGTTTTTCACTTTTTATTTTCTGGAAAGAAAATGTATTTTTCCATGGGTTAGGTGAAATTTTTCCTAAAGTTGAATTACTTTTCTATTTTTTGTGTTTTGAAAGGGCTGTTAATTTTTGACTCAAATACGAATCTGACTTGAACGAACTCGACACGAGGAATAAATGTGTCAAATTAAAGTTTGACACGAATAAGACGATTAAACGATTAATTAGTATTGTAGATAGAAAATAATTATTAATGAGTATTTTAGATAGAAAATAAGAATTTTATAATTTTTTAAATAATATTATTTTAGTTGTTGTCAAATTAAATAAATTTTTATTAATATGAATATTGATACAAATATGACACGTACTGAAAGTGATATGATATAAAAATAATATGATCAAAAGTGACACGATTGACACCCTTGAAATCTGATAGATCGATGAACATGAGAGATTTTTTAAAAAAAATATAATTAAATATTACATTATCGATTTTAGAGAGTCTGCTTCATCAGAAGTTTATTTCAATTTCCCATTCTCTCTATTTTAATTAATTATTTTATTTAACTTTTGCTAACTTCTAATAATTTAAAAGGGATTGCAACATATATGTGGAGAGAAAAAGAGAATTTTTAGATGCCAAATGACTAGAGCTATTTGGGTGAAATAGAGAATGAGATAGAAAGCGAATCGGAGGATATTTTTAGTATTTTGCTAGCTAAAATAACTAAAAAAAAAAGATAGAGAGTGAGTTGGAGTTCCTCTTAAAATCTTTGCAGCAAATCAACAATAGCTTTGTGTGAGATTTTAAGATGAGTAATACTATTTAAACTTTAGAAATTGTTATTTGTAAAAATATTTAATCAATCACAATTATTAAATTAATAGTAAATTTTAATAAATGTAAGGGAAAATTTTATCCATATTTCTTATAGTTAGTTTTAAATTCAGTGATATTTCTTCTTGATTTTGAAACTTTACTTGTTTATCTAGTTAAGATGTTAATGGCGATGGTCGATTTATAGAAATACTCTTGAGAATTTAATAGGATAAAGCATTCCCTTTAAATAAATTTAACATTAACAACACCTAACTCTAATAACACTCTCACCTAATTTTGATAATTTAATGCACTCTTTTTGAGTTCTATTATATTAGTTTTTAGGTTCATCAATTTAATATTTAATTTTATTAAATAAATATCTTTTATTTAATTTAAATTAAATTAACATTTTTTTTCATCAAATCAACACAAAATTGATTTTTAATTTTATCAAATTAGTATTTAGTTATATTAATATAATATTTTATTTCATCAAATTAATATTATCTATTTAATTTAACATTAAATTATTATTTAATTTATCAAATCAATATTAAATTAACATTTAATTTTATTAAATTAAAATTTAATTAAGTAAAATTTTAAATTATATTAATTTAACATTTAACCCATTTGTTTAATGTAACAGCAAATAAACATTTAATTTCATTAAAGCAATATTCAAATTTGTTCAACTAACATTAAATTTTATCAAATTTATACTAAATTAATATTTAATTTTATCAAATTAACTCTAAATTAATATTTAAATTTATCAAATTAAGACTAAATTTATACAATTAATATTAAATTTATCAAATAATATTTAAATTTTATATATAAAAGGTGATGTGTAAACAGTGGTCGAGTAATGTTGTAGAGGATAGGCGGTAGCAAAAAAGTTAAAAATTGATGAAATTTTAACATTGACTTTATCGATTATAAATTTTATTATAAAAAATTATTTTTAACTATAAAAATTATAAAAACTTGATTATGTAACCAAATAAGTAATAATATGATGAATAATATTATAACAAAGTTATCGTGCAACTCTTTAAAATAATAAAAATTCATTGTGATAACATGATAGAAATCATGCCTGTTGGCTGGCTAGGGCATACATAATGGAAAAAGAGTTGAGTGCACTTTAGTCTATTTACATAATAAAGGATAATTTTGACATTTTTACAGAATGTGTAGTTAAATCACTGCTTTATCTATTGGCAAAGGCAGAAGTTACTCTTAATTAGGTATCATTGATTTGAAAGTATAAATCATAAGAGGTGCAATGAAGTTTCAAAATCAGAAGAGGGTGTCATTGAATTTAGACGTAATTATTGAAGTTGTGGATGGGATTTTTCCTAAATACTATTAAACGAATGATAATGACAAATTATGTCATTATTTTAGGTCTAAGTAAAGAATCTTACTTAATCTATTAGAGCATCTCCAAGAGATGTTGTAAAGCACAAAAATAACAAAATTTAACTAACCAAAGCAAAAAATCATACTCCAATAAAATATGTTCAGATACTCTAAAATAGATTTTTTAGAATATCACTGTAACAATATGTAAAATTTGTTTATAATATTTTCTCTCTCTTCCTTTCCTTTATTTAATTCTCTCAATTACTCCCTTTTACTATTCCCAAAATAAAATAATACAAAAGAACGAGAAATAATATTTAAAAATGAGTAGTTAAAAATATAGAAAATTTATTAGAGTGTATATTAAAAAAATGAGTATCTAAAATAAAAAATGTTGCTTTTGAAGTAGCTAAAATAGATTTTGTTGTTGGAGATGCTCTTAATAACGTAGTTTTGTTACAATTGTTTAATTGGATTTATAATTAAATTAATAAATTATGTAAATAAATTAAATCTAAATAATATTATTTTTTCTAGAGTTTATAAGTGCAACTAGAATCTCATAGGCACAAGCATTCCCCTAAGAATTTTGAGAATTTTTCAGTCAATTTCAATTATCTAGTTAGTTCCTTGCAAGTTGTCACAAGGTATACGAGAGAGCACGCAATATTTATACTGTAAATAATAATTTGTTTTTTATTAATTGTGTAATTTAAAATTAAAATAAACAATTAATTTTTTTTAAGATCCTTATATCTCTTAGTAAGATTAAATAAGTCATCATATAAATTATTTATGACATCACACCTATCATTGAAAGATAATTATAAACAGTGTCGGAGAGTCCTATCACTCAAACGCTAATGCAAGCATCGGAGAGCTCTGATCACTGGTTCCTCTTTTTGTGGTACTGTGAAATCCACAAGAAATAAAGAAGAAGGGGATTGGAATAGCACACACAAATCAAATTCAAATTTTCTAATATGTATTTTATCAAACAGATTATAGGAAAGAACAATCTATTAAAGTTGCTCAACACACATATATTATGTATATCAAAATTTATAGTTTCACAATTCTAAAGTTGAAGAATAATCGAAGCAAAACATGTAGAGGATCATAAAAAAAATTTCTCATGTTCACAATATTTACTGAAAATAGGTACATTTCAAAGTCCAAAAGACATCTTCTGCAGTAAGGGAGAAAGAGAGGAGAAGTAAGTGTAGATTAGTGGAAATTCTTTAAAATTGAAGAGTTTGTTGTTTGAGTTGATTAGTGGGGATTGACTCTTTTTTTCCCTCCTTTGCATTTTTGTTATTGTTTATTGTGAAAAATTAGATTAAAGTTAATAATTTGATCATTGTGAAACTCAAATGATTGTTTAAGGTGTAATTTGAAAAAGTGTGTGATTTGAGGGGTGTAATGTAATTTGTTCTTTCTTTTATTTTTGGTTTGAAAAAGGTAGATTTATTGATTTAAATTACAATGGTGGGTATTTCACCCTATCTTTACATCAGCCTAAAGTTGTTCATTAATGTAAGCAGGCATCTAGTTTTACCACCCAAAAAAAAACAATCTCAATTTAAATTACGTCCAAGCTGTGCCATCTTGTTTGCTTAAGCATCTGCTTCGCAATACCACACCCATATAGTACTTGGCTTGAATTTTGAATTAGCATTACAAATCCATAAGATTTTAAGACCACTCAGGATGACATGAAGAATTTCCTTCTCAACACAAAGTTTCGGAGTACAAAATAGAAACAAACTCAAAATGATCTTGGTTTTGCAACAATGGTGGAATGCTTCAGAATATGCAAACTGAACTGCCCACCCTTCTCTGCAGTATCTATCTTTGACTGTCCTGGAGGAGGCAACAGCTCAAAATTCTGCACCAAACGCCCTAAAGTGATACCAAGAATAGGCAATGCAAGAATAATTCCAGGGCAGCTCCTTCTGCCAACGCCAAATGGAAGGTATCGGAAGTCATTGCCACTCGCCTCAACCTTCGCCTCCTCTTCCAAGAACCTCTCAGGCCTGAACTCCTCCGGATTCTTCCAGTGTGCTGGGTTATTGGCAAGCCACCAAGCATTCACCAAGATTTTGCTCTCAGCAGGGATGTCATATCCCCCAAGTTTTGCGTCGTGTAGGTTCATGTGTGGCACCAGAAGAGGAATTGCCATACGAAGGCGAAGGGTCTCTTTGATCACAGCCTGAAGGTATGGGAGTTTGTAGGTGTCAGGCTCGGTGATCTGGTGTCCGGGTCCAAGCACAGTGTCAAGCTCATGTCGCAGTTTCTTCTGGGTTTCGGGGTGGTTAACAAGTTCTGCAATGCCCCATTCGATTGACCATAGTGTGGTCTCGATTGCTGTTTCATGACAAACATATTTAGCTCATTAATTTAACATAAAAATGCATAGAATGAGAGCATTTGAATTAGATAATAACACTAACTAATCATCAGGATCGTGACATTTTCCAGTTGTTTAATTACTTATAAATCTTAGGGAGACTTATAAATCACTCTTTTTCTCATCCTCTTCTATTCAAGTGAAGTGAGACTTTTATTCGTTAAGTAAATTCCATACAATTAAAGCCCGATGGTCTACTATAGTGCAAAGTTTAAGGTACTATATTTAAGGTGAAAATTTATTCTCATAAATATAATGACAAAATTAACTATTTTTTATAACAGATAATCAGGAAAATTATAAAAAAAAAAAAAAAGATGATGCAATGGTGAGAAAGTAAAAGCGTACCCGCTACGTTAATGTTCTCAACGATATAAAGGACGTTGTCCTCGTTGATCTCTCCCTTCTGTTCGGCTTCGAGGATATGATCAATAGCGCATTTTAGCCCACTGTTGTCCATTGGCTTTGTGCTTGCAAGCTTCCTGTAATATACAAAATAATAATAATTATTATCAATTATTATATAAATATATAACATATAATTACAAGTCCGAAAAGTGTAATCTAGAAGTCATCAGAAATAAGGTTTTAATTTTGTATTTTTGAACACTAGTTTATACACATTTTGACTAATCTCTCCTTGGTTCAGCCACAGCCACAATGGGACTAAAGTTTTAATTTTGTTTGAAAAATGTTATTTGTAGCTAAAATGCTGATGTGATTTATTGACTTAATCAATTGTAGCTATTAAATTAATAACAGATTTTAATAAATATTAGGACTTACATTTAAATCAATTATAGTGATTAATAACATAATATTTTATTTTGATAATTGGGACCCCAATCAACTTGTCCTATTATATTAAAATTGTTTAGTAAGAATTCAATTAAATGCATGATTTGAATGAATCCAACCATACAGACCATTTCAAAAAATAAATGAAATAAATTTTATTAGGCCCGTTAACACTCGCTCACACCATCCACTCACTGCCTCCTTGGATAGTAAACCCCTCTGAAAAGTTCAAAACTCTAAGTGAAATTAAGAATAATTTAAGTGATAACAAAGATGAATAGTAAATTACAATTCTTTTGCCATAGATTATAATAAATTTATTCTTTATAAATGGTCTAATTCCAATCCGACCTGCTTTCGTACACTTTTAATTATAGAATCAAAAAAATAAAAATAAAAAACTCAGAAGTCATTTACTAACGACAGGAAGTGTCACATTCGAACATGAACACTCACGTTACAAATAGTTTGCTGGCCCATTTGAAGACCATACATGGTTATACTATCCCATACATAATTCTTTTTTAATTTTTCCTTCACCAATCAATTATATTTAATTGAGATTTATTAAATATATAAATATGTCGCTTACTCATTATTATTAATAGATGATTCACAAAAAAATAAATTAGGTATAAATAATATTATATTATTAAATAGAAATACCTTAAAAAACACAGAAGATTAGAGAAAAAATGAATATAAAAACTTGAAAAATTGAAACAGGAAAATAAAAATGATAAACTTACTTTCTCTCATCAAGGAAATAGTCTTTGAACAACTGCAACCTTCTCTCCTTCACTTCCTTGCAGATCGTCAAATAACCCCTCAAGAAAGGCCTCAAAATGGGAATAAAATCACCATAGTTGTACTCAAAGCTCTGCGCCAACCTACTTCTCTCTCCATTCAAAGCCTTGAGCTTCACAAACAACGGATCGTCCTCACTCTCAAACCTCCGATCAAACATTATCCTATACATATTATTATACATCATCAATTGCAACCTCCTCCTCAAAACAATCCCATTCTTCGCCGCTTCTGGGTTGTTCTTCACATCTTCAACCACACGCGCCGCCTCTTCCTCCCATCCCTGCCTATACTGCTGAACCACTTTGTTGGTGAAGAATGGAACAGTCATAATCCTTCTCATCTTCCTCCAATGTTCGCCGTAAACGGTAAACACCATGTCTTGACCTTTTCCGGTGAAGATATCGAACACGACGTTTCGTGTTCTTGAGCCGAACTCGACCCCTTGCGTGTGAAGAACTTCTTTGGAGAGCTCAGGAGATGAGACCACCACCAGATTGCGTTGTCCCATCCGGAGTAACAAGATTTCTCCGAATTTCTTCGCTAAATCTGTGAGGTTTCGGTGGTTTAAGTCATCGCCGACTTGGAGCCAGTTTCCGAATACAGGGATTGGGATGGGTCCAGGAGGGAGTTTGAAGCGCTTCCCTCGGAATTTAGAGACAACGGTGGCAACTATAATGGCAAAGAAGAGACCTAAAAGGGTCTTCTCTAGGAGAAGAAGATCCATGGCGGAGGCTGGTGGCGATGGGGCGGAGGAGAGAGGAGAATCGTGGTGGGTGTTGGTGGGAGAATTGGAGTGGGTGTGTATTTATAGATGGGTGTGGGGGCATGTAACGGAAGAAGAGTTAGGTTGGGGGCAATTGACGGCGTTAAATTAGACGATGGCTTTGATGGTTTTTACGTTTTTTTGGGCAAGCGGAATTGATGGTTATGGTTTAGAAAATAGGAGAGAGCGGTGGAAAGGTAGGTGGGATGTTTGGTGAACCAATATGTCAAACTCAACTGATTAAAATCTAAGGATGTTTGAAGTAAGAACTCAGAAGTTTTTATAATGCATATTCGCCGGCGAAAATGATGGTCGTAACTTGTTTTACAATATTACTTACCAGTAATTCTCCGTGACCAAGTAATAATAAAAAAAAATTATGATCAATTAAAAGACATATTAAATAATTTTACATTGAGAATATTGGTAAATATATCTTTCATTACACCATAATCTACTATTTAAATATTCAATCACAAGTTCATATTGAATGTAATTATAGAATAATACTATTTGGACTTAAAAATATGACCTAATTTTTTGACATAATAATGTGGTTTCAATAGAACCATTTGATCAACATTAAGTTTCAATATTTGATGGACTCCACAGTCAATCCAAAGGTCATAGTAAATTAGATCAACAAATTAGGTCAATAAATTAAATTTCAATAGCAGTACTCGTAATTATAACTAAACATATGAATCTCATATCAAAATAGTTGGTGTAACAAACAAAATTTCATAAGTTAATATAAACAATATATTATTTAAAAAAAATCGATAGACTTCTCTTTAAAAACATAATCTTGTACACAATATCAACTTGTGTACAATTCATAATCAAACCTATACGTAAATAAAAACTATTTTGCATCAATAATCTCATCATATCACATATTGTTGTTATCACTATTTATGAATAACTAAGTATATTCATTCACCCTGAACTAACACAAAACTTAAAGCTAATATGAATAACTAAGTACATTCATTCATCCTCCATAAGTCAAATAATCGTCAATTAAAAAATTAAAATCCACTAAACAAAGTTGAAACTCGAGCGTTGGTTATTTTCAATTTTGTTGAAACTTATTGAGGTCACTAGTTTTTGACAGAACCCCAAAGTCATCGTTCTCACCAACTATGATCCTGCTTTAATAAAAAAATTTACTACCTGCTACAACATAGACCTACTAATATTCATGCAATTAATGACCAAACAACGAACTTTTTTCCTGGACAATACATAAACCCATATGATACACATTTCTTATTAGTTATAAAAGAAAAAAAAATTACAGTTTAACCATCCGTTTATTTTGCGTCAATGTTGATCAAGCTACGAAAGCAAGAGAATAAAAAAAAGAAATAAATAAAAGAAACCAACTTCAACATGAATACAAATCTTATTTCTAAAAAAAAAAAATAGTGGATGATTTCTTGATATCCAACTACTATGTAGATGAAGTGAAAAATATATATTGAGATGGTTGCTAGCGCAACTTAGTAATCAAGACAATTGCAACCGTGTAACATATAAATAGAATTCTAATTAGGCGATTCTATTAAATTGATTCTTCAAAACATGTTATTATGTTAACTACTCATTGAATTTTTTACTCCTGCAATAAAAGAATGTCAATGAAATTAAATTCACAACCTCTTGTCAAACATGACATTTTTATCACTCAATACAAAATCAGGGAATAATCACTTATAATAAAAATGAGAATCAACTTCTAAAATGAACACTTACCGTAAGTAAGATTTATTTTCTTTTTTACTCGTAAAGATTGTGCAAGTAAACCAATAATCATAACCATGCGAGTCGAAAATGAAAATCCTACCTGATAACCTACCCAAAAAAACTTTCTCAATGTAACCCCAATATTTGATGTCAACTTTGTTAATTTTTCCAATGCAACACTCCTTTTTTTTTTCCTTCTTTATCCAATTAGTAATCGGCATAGTTATTACACATTCCCAATTTCCATAAAGTACCCAAAAAAATTGGTGTAGTATCAAATTTCATTATTTTTAAACAAATCCATATTAATCTACTTCAAAAGCAATCGGTAGACAACATTAGATCAAAGATTTGATTTCAATTTCATTAACAAACCCCAACTAAAATCCATATGAAGACATCAAATTGTTGATACGTATTTAGCCCGAAAAAAAGTTGAAAATATAAAATATTCTATGTAACTCGAAGAAGAAAAATATAACTGTCAATTGCTTTTCTGAAGACTTTTAACACATGGATGAAATTAGCCCATTGGCTAATCCATTGTGTATTTCTACAATTTTACGTATTTAGCCCGACAAATAGTTGAAAAAATGAAATATTCTATGTAACTCAAAAAAGAAAAATATAACTCAATTGGTTTTCCCAAAAATTCTTATAATCCACTATAATCCCCCTGATGACCGTATTGAGCTTTTATAGAAAAATTTATGCAATCAAGTAAAGATAAACATAAAGATAAACATAAAAAGAGAATTAGAAACTAAAAACCCACTACCTGAAAACATTGTGAAGGAAGTGTTCCTCATGCATCCCCACGTTTGATGTCATTTTTTCCTTTCATCCAACACCATACAATTCAATCACCTGTTACCCAACACCGAAATTCATCAAACCACTACAAATAATTGATTGCCAAAAAACCCGGACTAACAGTTTTTTCATTTGGGTTTGTCAGGCATTTATACCCCCCAATCACACGAATTAATGCAAATACAAATATTATGGAATTTAAAACGACATAGAATAAGAGCTCCCCAACAGATTTTTCATGATTTTGAGTCAAACAACGCACAAAAAAAATTAATTATAAAGCTTTACAACAACTTTCGAACAGAGATTTAAAAAAAAAAAAAAAGAGGAAAACAAAATCAGAGACAAAAAGGTGGATTTAGAAAAAAATAAAAAAATCAAAGACAAAGAGGTAGATTTAGAAAGTATTGGTAACTAATTTCCCATGATCATCGGTCCAAAATAAAGCCGGGAAAAAAAAAAAAAAAAACAAGGATAATAAAGCTTTACAACAACATTCAATTCTGAGATAAAAAAATAGAGGAAAAAAAAAATCAGAGAGAGAGAGATTTACAGAGTATTGGCAAGTTAAATATCAGCTTTAAGAGAATCCTTGAACGACTTTACCATGGCCATGATTTTTCTAGAAAATTAACTCCCAATCAACAGCAGAAAAATCCCCAAAAAAAATAAAAAAACAGAATAAAATCTCCAAGTCCGTGGTAGTATGTGAAGGAATTAGAAACCAAATGGGTAAAGTCGGATTTTTAACTCTGTAGATTAAAAGTCCACCAAAAAAACAAACTTGTGCATTGGAAAATGAATATGTAAGAAGGGACGGCTAGAGTGGCCAAATAGTGATTAAATTATGCTTTGGGTAACTCTTATTTTATCTCGATCAAATGATTAGAAAGTTTTATTATTTATAGACAGAATTACATAGAGACTCTCTCAAAACTTTGTTATACACAATTTTTCTGAGATTTATAAGCGCATAACAATTAAACTCTTATTATCAATGTCTGTTAATATATCTGTTAGTAAATTACACTTAAAACTCTTGAAGTTTGTAGGCGTACAATAGTTACATTTATTAAATTTAAATTGTTATACTTAGACTAAAAATATTTTAATTAAAGATAAAATATCAAATATTTTAAATTTTATTATCAAACTTTATGTTCTATTGTATCATTTATTAAAATAAAACCAAAAATAAAAATTATATTTTTAAAAAAAATCAAATTACTATATAATTATACTATCTATTGAAATACAACAAAAAAATTAAACAAATGGTCTAAGTCATTCATAATATAACATGAATTTTATAATAAAAATTCATATTTTATTATATTATATCATTTATTGAAATAAAATCAAAAATATAAATATAATTTTGCGGAACGGAAAATCATAATTAATATACAATTATACTATATATTGGAATAAAACTAAAAAATTAAATAAGAGGTCAAACTATAATATCAATGGCTTTTGATCTAATGATATTCTTTACCTTGTGAAGATTTTGCCTTCTTGAAATTAAGGGTTCAAGTCCTCCTTCTCTCTCTCCCCCCCCCCAAAAAAAATATATATATATATATATATTAAAAAAATAGGTCAAACTATAATAAATACAATATCATTAAATTTTAATTGGGATAATTTGGTTATTTAAACAACTAAATCAAATTCCAATAGATAGTATAATTGTATACTAATTAAAATTTTTAAGAAAAAAATTAGATTTTTATTTTTACTTTTATTTTAATAAATGTCATAATAGAACATTAATTTTAGTTGTCAAATTTAAAATGTTTTGATGTTTTATATTTGATTGAAATATTTTTAATATAAGTATAATATTTTAAACTTGATGGGTCTAAGTATTATATGTCTATAAATTTTAAAGGGGTCTAGGTATAATTTACTAACGGATATATTAACGGACATTGATGACAGAAGTCTAAGGGGTTGTTTGTTTACTGTCTTTGTCTTGTGTTTTGTGTTTTTATTTTCAATTTTTTTCTCAAAAATAAAAACAAAAATATGTTTGAGAACTGTTTTTTTTTTGTTTTATATTAGTCTTCTTGAAAATAAAGACAAAAAAATGGGAAAAAAAAAGATGTTATAGGAAATATGTTTTCTGGAAACACACACGCGCTCCACAGCCTGTTTAATGAGATTCCCCATTCGAATCCTATTAACAATAAAAAAGAAGGTTTTTTTTGTATTTACTATAAAAGACCTTTGAAGGGTTTCTTTTTTTTTTTTTTCACTCTATCATTTTCTCTCTCTCTTTCTCTCAGACGAAGATTGATCCCTTAGACGACAAAGAACTCACAAACGGTGAAGATCGATACCTCAGACGAAGATTGATCACTCGCTCTCTTTGTCTCGCTCTTACAAACGATGAAGAACTTAGATCGATACCTCACGTGTCGTTGATCTATCTTCCTCCCAAAAATA